TAATAAATTTTTATAATTTTATTATGTTATCGTAATTATTTGTAAATCTTTTTTCCGCATAAACTTGTCTTGGATGTTATCCCAAATATTTTTTTCATTGGAATTAAGAGTTATGGAAGTTTATTAAAGGGGTTATAAAATTATTGGATTTTGCTAATTTTTACAATTTTTCATGAACTTACCATTCCAGATTAAATACTGCGATGAAAGTAACTGTTTCATTAAGCATTTTCTATCAGCTGCGAAAATGTTATCGATTTTTTTTTAAATATTTCTGACGTAGGCTGCTTTATTCGTATTGCTGTTGCTACAAAACAACTCTTTGAAATATATATATATTTAAATATTTTAGTATGATGCCTTGAAATCTTATTAATGGTTTTTTAACAAGAAACTTTTCTAACGTAAAATGACAAAATTTAGATTAAAAATACTCATTTTAACTTTAAATTAATATTCCTTTAAAACATAATAAAATTGCACTTATCTGAAATATTTTTACACCTTGTAGCATTATTACGCGATAATTGTTTCATGTCAAACTATCCTATTAAGATCTTTTGAAATCTAAATATGGATAGGAGAACCCAGAGCAAGATGACTAACATTTTGAAAATTCTTAATTTTCGCAAAGTATTTTTCAAATCAAAATAAAAAATCTTTAGATCAGGTGAGGATGTTGTTACCATAACAAATGAAAACTTAGTAACTACAATGCAGAGTTGTTAGTTCTTGGCCTTGGTCTTGTCTTAAGGCCAAATATAAAGGCTTTGGTCTTGGTTTGGCCTTGAAACTCTTGTCCGTGAAAATTTTGTCCTTAACCTTAATCGTTTCGGCCTAGGCCTTCAAAAAAAAAATACATAAAATTAAAGAATTAAAGGTTTTCTTTTTTTCTTTTTATGCAGTTTTGTTTTCGGCTTTCATATATATCTACAAGTATTTTTTTTATTGACTTTGTAGAATTTTGCACATAACCTTGGTTTATTTTTATAACATGTGGTTTATTGGCACAGCAATCATTACCTAAAGTTTCGTTAATAATAGGCCTTGACGTTAGGCAAAAATTTAAGTCTTTGGCCTTGAAAATGTTTGCGTAGGCCTTAGCCTTAAAATTTTTTATTTTTGGCCTTGACCTTAAAACTCTTGGCCTTATACTTGACTTTGTAACTTTTGACCATGGCCATGCTACTTTTGGCCATGGCCATACTACTTTTGGCCATGGCCATGCTACTTTTGGCCATGGCCATGCTACTTTTAGCCATGACTATGCTACTTTTGGCCTTGTTAACAACTTTGCTACCAAGCACTTTTTCTAAAGTATTGCAAAATAAACACGCATTGCAAAAAGCATCCCAAAGAAGGTTACGTCATTTGAATAACATTTATCAGCAATTATCCTAACCGTAACATCACTTTTTTTTTTAAGGAAAAAAAAAACTTGAGCATATAAAACAACATTACCAATGTTTAAACAAAAAAAAATGTTATTTTAAATACAAGCTACAAAATGAAAAATATGCGGTTTGTTTCCATCCATTTATAAGTTTTTTTTTTGTGAAATAGAAAAATTAATCGTGCCTTTTTGATTTTTTAAGTTTATTTTTATAAACCGTAAATTGGTTTTAAAATAACATTTTAACACTTACCTTGACAACGTTTTTGACATGAAGTTTGGCTAAACGAAATATGCTTTGATTGCTCAATTTGTCTACTTTTTTAACGGGCTACTTATTTAACGCAACACCGGACGTTAAATGGAGATAAACCATTAAGTTGGCGCTGCTCAGTTTTGGCTGAGTAGCAACTAAACCCTTAAGTGGGCTATACTAAAACTCTTAACTGGGCCATAACACGGAGTCTTGGCTCCCAAATAATACCGGCTTTCTAGGGCCCTGTGTAAGTCTGGTTTCAGCAACAGGTGTCTTTAGTTGGTTGGTAATAATAGAATCATAGCAATAAATAATTGTTTTTTTTAGAAATAAATAAATTGTGCACAAATAAACTTAATTTAATCTAATTTTATTGCATATGGTAAATTATTCAATACAGAAAATTAAAAATTGAATAAAATTTTTTTTTTCCAACAAAAATTAAAATGATGGATTGTAAGTTCTGTTCTTATTCGTCATTATTGTCAAATATTAGCCGTCTAATCCGTCTTCTTTTCTTTTCTCTAATTGGCTGATAATCCTCTTCACTGAAAATTTTCTTCTTAGTTTTCAAAAGTAGTTTTATTTTGCAGTTCTTTCAAAACCTCTTTGTATGGAGCTAAACAGTTTTAAAATTCTTTTTTAAATTTTTCACTGCGTACTATTGAAGGACTAATTGGAATTCTAATTCTTTAGCCTTAAGAAAGTTCTTACGAATATTGCATTATACAGAGATTACACAACGTTGTAGGAAAGTAGTTCCAAATTTCATTACGCGTTATATGAAGATTTGCGTTGTAAGAATTAGCTGTATATGTATGTATACGCGTTAGGAGAATTAGCTGTATATGTATGTATGTATGTATGTATATATGTATGTATGTATGTATGTATGTATGTATGTATGTATGTATGTATGTATGTATGTATGTATGTATGTATGTATGTATGTATGTATGTATGTATGTATGTATGTATGTATGTATGTATGTATGTATGTATGTATGTATGTATGTATGTATGTATGTATGTATGTATGTATGTATGTATGTATGTATGTATGTATTTATGTATGTATGTATGTATGTATGTATGTATGTATGTATGTATGTATGTATGTATGTATGTATGTATGTATGTATGTATGTATGTATGTATGTATGTATGTATGTATGTATGTATGTATGTATGTATGTATGTATGTATGTATGTATGTATGTATGTATGTATGTATGTATGTTTGTATGTATGTATGTATGTATGTATGTATGTATGTATGTATGTATGTATGTATGTATGTATGTATGTATGTATGTATGTATGTATGTAGGTATGTATATCATCATTTTGCAGTAAATTATTTTCCATTACATATTTTATTAGAAATCTTTTATCAATTTTAAATTGATTATCTATTGATAAGTGAATTTTAAAATTAAACTTTTATCAGTAGAAAATTATAAATTAGTTAATATTAACTAATTTATAATTTTCTATTGATAAAAGTTTAATTTAATTTAATTAAAGTTTTAAATTAATTTTAATTAATTTAATTTAATTAAAAACCTTTTTTTTTAAAAAAGTGGTTTTTAAATGCCTTTTGTTTTTGAAAAACATCGTGTTTTTTTACTAATAAATTAAATTTTTATTTTACAATATTCAACACTATTAAACACTACAAAATGTTATTTTTTAAGTTAAAGAATATTTAATCATACTATTTAAACACAAAATTTTAAAGATATATTCACTAATATTCACTTTTGGTTTGATATTTGGCAAAGTCCAACATTCTATACATTCATATCTTGTATCTTTTCAAACTTTGTGTATGTAACATACCACACACCTTTCCTGAGCATTAATCTTTCATTATCAACTTCATTAATCATTCATTTATTAATCATTCATCAAATATATAATTTTTGAGTAAATATTAGTTTTTTTGATAATAATTTTTGCACTGAAAGAACTTCCTTTTCTGCCATATTTAAAATTAAAGTGAACACGTGTAAAAGCTCTGTAATTATGTAGTAATAAATTTTGTGACAATTAGACGTATAATTACTGATAAGCAAGAAGGAAATACGAAGAAAAGCTTAAAACCATTTATATTACGGCATGGACATTTAGAAAGCACTTTCAGTTTGCGTAATATTACGGCGTGGACATTTGGAAACCAGTTAAATTTGCGTAATAATAATACGGCATGGACTTAAGCCCTTTTAAATTTATTTTTGTTGATAAACAATACCGTGAAACATAGACATTATAAATAAAATTAAAAAATGCAGTCAATCTTTTAACCGCAGGATAAACACCATTCCGGCGTTCAATGAAGTTTAATTTTAAGCAATTGGTCTTTTGGTTTTAAACGTTATGATTGGAAACAAAATTTATTTTTTTACTCAAAATTAACGCTGTTCTCTTCGTTGGGAAGTACTTTAAAAACGCAATATAAGGCAAATTAATTTTTCATTCAAAAATAACGCTGTATTCTTTGTTAAAATTATTCATTCAAAATAAAATATAAAACAGTTTTTTTTTATTTATGTATTAGCATCGCAGTATTTAAGTTACTTAAGAAATAAAAAATGAACTTGAAATTCTTTAAAATATTAAATTAAAAAGTTTAAAAAAATATTTTTTTGCAAACTTGTTGTAAAATAAAATTTACATTTTGACGTTTGTAAACGTTAAGTTATTAGTTTTCAAAACTTTAAAATTTGAGAAATTTTTTATATGGTTTCGCCACCATTTGATCCAGAATGCATTATTTTATGTAGTAGTTTGCATCAGGATGAACCTGCGCTAGTGCCAACTTATAAGAAAATTGCTAAAGTGCAAATCTGCATAAATGCAAAGAGGTATTAGTGCACCTAACAACTTCCAAAACATTGAAGTACGTGTAAATACGAGCAAGTGAAAGCTTGTTACAAAACGTAGTCCGTTAAGGTCAGCTGGTTATAATAAATCTAATTTGTCGTTTATTCAGCACATTCTTTGCAATCTTAATCCTTACCCACTAGAGATAAAAAAATTCAAAAAAATCAAGCAACTTTATGATAGCCTATTTTTTAGCGCAGAAGTTGAGGTTAGCATAAATATATAGAAAAAACTGAATTTCAATTTTTTTATTCATTTCTGCTAACTCCAACTTTTGCACACTAAAAAGCAGATAACAACTTCATATATAGCTTCATCTTTTTTTCAAATTTTTTCAATAGATTATTTGTGGTAATTTTAAAATAGATGAATGATATAGAAATATATACACTTAAATAATCAATCAAACATACCTTTATTTTTTATATATAACTTATTAAAAAATAAAAATGCATCCTAAACTCAAATCTAAAAGTAGATGTATGCATATTATTCTCAATCTTATTAGGTTATGATGTGTTATGGTTGTGACAAAGATGGGTTATGGTTGTGACAGAGCATATTTGTAGATGCCTTGTAAGTTTGTTTTAATGACAATATATGGATTATTTTTTTGTGTGTACGCGCGTCCGTAACTATTAGTATACACCCAACAAAAAAAATTTTTAATTTAAAAGAAAAAAAAAACTTTTTATTGCCACCAAAACTGTTGTTTAATAAAAAATGTTAAAGGTTATGTTCTACTTTAAATGCTCTTGAAATGTCGAAATCTTTATTGCAAACGTAATCGTGTTGCCCTAACTAATTTATATTTGTTTAAAAAGTAAATAAAAAAAATATTGGAAAACAAATTTTTATTATTTTATGTTATATACAAAACATAAAGCTCTGTGAAAGTATCTGTTTCAATTAAATAAAAACACAAATAAATTCCTAAAATATTCCTTGGAGAATAGAGAATCATCAAAAATCTTAATCATCACTGCAACAAAATATTTTGGCTCTTTAAAAGAAATTCTTTGTATTCTTTACAATACATTTAAATTGGGTGACTTTTTTTCAAATTTTTTGTTTAGACATTGTCCATAAATATGAAATAATGGTTAAAAGTTTTCTTTAATGTTTCTTCCTTAGAAATCCTATTTAATTAAAAGAATAAATTCTTTTTACTTAAGTAAGTTTTACATAAATAAAAAGAACGTTACTGACTCAACTATTAATTTATTAATAAGCTTATAAATAATGCAAATATTGCATGAGAAAATACATGTTTCGACATCTTGACGCCTATAACACGCAGTTGAGTGTATTTTTATTATTTTTGTATTCAATTCTTTTTTTTTTTTTCTTTTTTTTTTTTTTGATGCTTCATAAGGTACTCTAGAATAATTTAATGAGAAATTTCTCAGCTGTCATCGTCATTGTCGTTAAAGCCAGTTCGGGAATTTAACTATAAACCTATTGACACCAAAAACAGCTCTCTAACAGAGTCGTAGCTTTTGTATATAAAAATATTTATCATATGAACCATATAAAATTTAAAAATTTGCATCATTTAAAAACGTCAAACTAAAGTTTTACTCTTAATCAGCGACAACTTATTACCTAAAGTTGATATTGTAGTAACTTATTACTGCTATATATATATATATATATATATATATATATATATATATATATATATATATATATATATATATATATATATATGTATAGATAAATATATATATATATATATATATATATATATATATATATATATATATATATATATATATATATATATATATATATATATATATATATATATATATATATATATATATATATATATATATATATATATATATATATATATATAATATATATATATATATGCTGCGGAAAAAGCTATTGTTTTCAATCAGTTTTCTGCGAGTTAGTTTGCTCATTTTTTGAATTGAATTTTAACGCCTAAAATTCATTTTTTTTCTTTTTCTTTTTAAGTAATTTAAAAGAAATGCAAGTCTTCAATAAATATTTCATTCTCAACTAAAAATAAAAAAATAAAAAATCGTTTTAAATCATTTTTAAACATCTCAAATTTATAATGAAAATGTAAATAAATAATTAGAATAACTTTTTTACTTATAAATATGAATATATATATATATAGAGAGATTTTTTGTTTTATTGCTTAGCGTAAAGTAAAAAGTCGGATACATCTTTGCACGCGTTAAAACATTGATACTTTGAAACTGAACAAATCTGAAATTCTTTCATTTCTCCAGCATGCGCTGAACAGGCATCAAATTCTGACGTGCATTTGTAATCGCATGATACATCTTCACCAAGGGGTCGACTTCTCACTGTTTTAACGTGTTGTACGATCAGCAAAGTCATCAAACAAATGGACGTTGTAAGACTCATCATTTTCTAGACATTTAAAAACATAAAATATTTGGACTAATATTATCAAGTTAATCGCGCATCAATAATTACGCATCAAATTGATTATCAAATTAATCGCGCATGCTGTTGTGCTTTGTAAGCAGATTAACTTAATTCTCATTGTAAATAATTTTAAAATTTAATTAAATCTAATTTTGAAAATTAAATATCAATTGATTGTTTTTGTTGAAAAACAGTTTATATATATAAAAATTATATCTAAATTTTGATTTGACCTCACCTTAGCTTATATAGTGTTTTTTATTGTACTCATCAAAATTCAAAATAAATAAATAAACACTTTAACAAATAAATAAATAAATAAATAAACATAATAACACAAAATTTGTAAATAACACTATAAAGTAAAAAATAAAATACATATAAATTAAAAAAAAAAAAAAAAAAAAATTAATAAAATAACTGCACAAAATAAGTAAATAAACCCTTTTGAACCTACCAGCATTTATAACCAAAAGATGTAATGATATTGAATAGTTGCAGATACTCCAATATTTTATCGTTGTTAGAAATTTCTTTAATAATGTCATTTAATTCAAGTCTCGAGTTTTATTGGATTGCGGAGTTCTAAAAGCCTACTTTTTCTTTTGTTGTCTATTAAACACTTAAACTAAAAATATATATCTCTATTGTAAGTTACCACAATGAAAAGGTAAATAAACAATCTTTTAACTTATTTATTACGTAAAGTGATTAATTTTTATTCCATAAAGGTAAATTTTTTACTTTTTTATTTGCAGTTACAGTTTAATTCGTGACCGACATAAACAATAAATCACTTGAACGTGCTTATTTAAACACGCTTTCCTGCTTTCTTTTATCTTCCTGTTTTGTTAAATAATCAAATCGAATGAGATCTTTCCGAAATCGAAACTATTCACTAGGGGATATTGTGCGATCTCAGAACGGTATCTTAAAATTATGAAGCTTTCTCGGATCGTTTTGCTTCAAAAACTTCATTCTTTTAAAAATTAGTTATCATCCATAAAGCTAATTCGAAACACAGTTTTATAGTAAGTTTGGGAGTTACAGTTAATTTACGGTAATTAGTATTTTCACGTAACTCAGTAACAATATAATCAAAATTATTTTGATAGAGATAAAAGCAGTTGCGAAATAAAACAACATTTTATAAGGTGTTTAAAAATAAACATTTGAAAGGGTGTATGAAAACAAACATTTGATAGGGTATACACAAATCTGAGAATAAATAACTTGTTTCCCGTCGATTCAGCACGCAGCGTTAAAAATCCGTTATTTTAATAAATAACAACGATGTCAATTATGAAGCCTTACTTTATTATTATTATTCTTTTTTTTTAATTTTTCAGTATTTTTGTTGCAAATGAAAATGATAATCCAGAAATAAAAGACCACTTATTGATAAACCACTTAAACTACTTTTTAACGTTTTTACACTTTTACCAGAGCTATGTTATTTTAGTTTCAAACAAACTAGCTGCAGAGGATTCTTTTGTTTCGGAATCTCGTAGTTTTCAAGCTCAAAATGCTAAAAAAAAAATTATTTTAGATAATATGGGGGCTAAGACACCCGCTATTCTTAAGATCCCCTGTTTAAATTCATCCATAATTCCGAAGAATCAACAACACGTAAAATTTTAGTAAAACATTGTATTTGTTTAGTGCGGTGAACCAGTTTATGATAATATTATTGTAACTTTCAAAGTTGTTTTAATAACAATCATCGTGAAGTTTAAAAGTCCAACTTGGGATAATATTATTATATTAAGAAAAAATTAAATATTTGAAAGAACATTTCCTACGTAAAGAAAGTTTCTTGGGAAAATTAACCCATAAGTCATACATACATGTATGTATGTATGTATGTATGTATGTATGTATGTATGTATGTATGTATGTATGTATGTATGTATGTATGTATGTATGTATGTATGTATGTATGTATGTATGTATGTATGTATGTATGTATGTATGTATGTATGTATGTATGTATGTATGTATGTATGTATGTATGTATGTATGTATGTATGTATGTATGTATGTATGTATGTATGTATGTATGTACGTATGTATGTATGTATGTATAATGATCTTTTAATAATACAAGATTACTTTTAATAATGCAAAACCACAGTTAGTAATACAAAAATCACAAAAAGTTACTTTCATGTAAGCAGTTCTGTTAAACTTGAGCAAAATTTTCACAATTTATTTTCAAATTTTTACAATTTATTTTATCCAACAACAAAGCAGCAGGTGTTTTAGGTCTTTAAACCTTCGTAACTTTTTTGTTTTAAGAAATTGCTCGTCAATTGGCGCAATAGCTCAATGTTTCAACTAAACCCGTGTTCCGAACAGTTTTTATACTGTAACCATAACAAATTAAACCAGATACTCTTACACTCAAGGCCGGAATAAAATTTTGGGGGCCGGCTGCAAAATATATTTGGGGGCCTCATTCCTAAAACTATATTTTTAAAAATGAATTCAGCAAAACATGAAATTGATTTTTTATTTATCAAAAATATTTTCTTGCCTTCACATTGGCGAAGTCAATTACGACAAAGTTCTTTCAATTGTCATTAAACAAACATAATTTAAATGACTATTTAATATTAAGGAACTGAGATTATTTTTAACCTTTTGCCAATAGGTAATGGGAAGGGTCAGAAAAACACTGCATGCAGTATTTGAAAAAACTGATTTTAACTTACTCCTACGAATCGCTTGTAAATATCCTAGAGTTGATAGATTTGTCATGAACTTAAAACCTAGAGAATTTTGTCATGAATTTGTGATTCTAAGTCTAAAGGATAAATAGTACATAAGGATTTGGCAGCAGCAAAAATAAAAGGAACAGTAATAGTCAGAAAACTAGGTAAAAAACCAAACTTTTTCTCCGCAGACTCGTAAGCAGGAAGTCTTCGTTAAAGCACATTTTCAATTTGTCTATATTAAGGAATAAATGTTTAATTCTAAATTTGTCAATGCCACTTAAATTGCAACATGATTCTGTGCCAAAGCTCCTTCATAAAAGCATCTTTCAAAGTTTTCATTTTCTTTAAAAGTGTTGTTACTTTATTTTGTGTCTGACGTTTTTCATCATTCAGAACAATTGGTTCTTGGCGTTTTTCATTATTCAGAACAATTGATTCTTGGCGTTTTTCATCATTCAGAACAATTGATTCTCAAGATCTCAAGAGAGTAACTGTATTTTGTATGTAGAATTTGAATAAAAATTTTGCTGACAACCGTCTCCCACTCAAGCCTTTGATGGTAACTTTCTTGCCTTTTCCTTCACCAATTATAAGATCAGAGAAAATTATCTGTTATGTGTGAGTTAAAGAAGTATAGAAATTATACAGCCATTCAAAATTTAAAAAATCAAATGCAGTCTCACAGCTGCCAACAACGTTCACGCCTACTTAATTTAAAGAAGGTGCTGCACAAGTAAAAAAATCAATGTTTAGATTCTCATTTTTCAGTTGTGCTTGCAGGTCATTGTATTTTCCAGACATATTAGATGCATTGTCATATGACTAACCCCAAGCATCATTCATCTTTAAGCCACGCTCTTTTTATCTTTTTTTTACTGCATCTGTCATAGCCTTTCCATTATGTCCACAGAAGACTCAAACCCAATAAATCTTTCTTCTACAACAGCTTCCTCGCTCACATATCGAATGATTATTACAAGTGAGTCAAAGTGGGCAGTGTCAGCCGTCAACAATCAGTGAAAAGTATTTATCTTTAGATAGAATATTTTTTGCCATTATGAAGACCATTTTCTCATAAATTATCAATGAAATGTATAAAACATTTCCTCTGCCCTGAAATTCTTAGTTTTCTATATGCTTAGCAAAGAATGGGTCAAATTTTAAATAGAACTCCATGGTCCCGAGAAAGTTGCCATCACTGAAGGCGTCTATTTCTTCTGAGTCATCTCTAAGAGCTAGACCTCAATTGCACAAAGACTTTAAACATTCAACAACTCTTCTTAGAAAATCCCTTCATTAGGCTTTTTATCCGCCAACTGCTGTTTAAAACAAATCAATTTTTCCTTTTACACCTGAAACACAAAGCCAACTACAAAAGCAGATTATATACATAGCCTGTTACATCTGAAACATAAAGCCAACTACAAAAATAGATGAACATGCGAACCTTCTTACCCCGCTTAGTCATATTATTTTACATATTAAAAGCTGGACATTTTATACATTTCTAAGCCCTTGCAGTAGTGATATAAAGGCCTGAATGAAATTTTCTTTATTATATCCTATTCCAAACATAAAAAATTATTTGTCTGCATTTGGGGAAACACACTACTCTCCTTGAAATGGTTGCGTGTTTATATTACTGACATTTTATCAAGAAGGAACTGTTTTCCCAGACTATTTCATAGTTGTCAAAAAACATTATGTAATGAGTTACATTATATAAAAAGAAACTATAGATTAGAAATGTCGGTCAAATGCTTCTCTTCACTAGTTTTCTAAACTTTTACAATCAAAAGTATCCGCGTTATATAATTACTAAAGTAGTTTAGAACCTGTTTTTTTATTGGTTTTTGATAATAGTTTACTTATTTTTAATAATTGTATATATTTTTGTTTCGCTGAAGCATTCAAAATATTTTGGTTTTATTTTCAATTAAATGTGTTGGTCTTGAAATAATTCTTTTTATGGATTTTATAGGACATTTTTTTAACTTGTTTTTTTAATTATGGGGTTTTGTTAAACATAAACATTTTCATTTTTTAAATAAACATTTATATAGTTCATTATTTTTCATTAGGAGTATTTAAAAAAAAACAGAAAAATCAATTGAGTAATCAATAATAATCAATTTAAACAAAATCTGTTACATTAGTTTTTTGCGCAAAACTCACTAATTTTAACAATTGGCACAATTTTTAATTTTTTTAAAAAGCAGTCAAGTAAATACTAATATGTGACTAATCATGTTTCATTTTTATTTGATATATTTTGTATATAATGGAGTAAATCTGTAGACAAACTTTCACAAAGTTTGTCAAAATCTGCTGTTTGAACCAAATGACGTGAATTAATAAATTTTCAAAGTTTGAAAAACTCTGTTGTCTACATGTCTCACTTAATATTAACACTATTTTGATTGGATTATCTAATTTTTTTTTTCAATAATAACTTTGCTATTTTAAACAACATAAATTACAATATTTTAAGAAGCACTAAAATTTTAATTATAACTAAAAATAATTTTAACTTTTATTGTTAAAATTTAAAAGAAAAAAAAGAAACCAAAAATACTTTCAAGTGTACAAATAAAAAAAATTCAATACTTTAATAAAAACTCAACTTAAAAACTTAAGGTTCTTAATATATAAGAAATTCTCTTCTTTATTTAACAATAAAATATTGGCATGTGGTAACACAAAAATAAGTCGGCTAACAATCTAATAGAAGTGACTTAATAGATACTAAGATACTAAATTTTATAGCAAGGTTATGTAAAAGTACTAGCTGAGATCGAACGCGTAAAAATACGGGTCTTTGTAAGTCTATTCCAAACCGAACTGTTTTATACTTTTTTCTTATATATCCTAGCTTCAGGATCCGTAAAATACGGGTCTTTACCAAACCTACCATTTCTATACATACCTATTCCACATCGATTATTTCTATACCTATTCCTTATTTACTTCAATACTTTTTAGTAAAATAATTTTGTTCGAAAAAAAATTTGAAGACCAAAAAAATTAACATGTGCACCTTTTCCGCATACGTAGAGCTTATAAGAGACTAATAATTAGGTTTGTTTTTCTGCTAAATGCATTTCATTGATAGCTCAATGGTTAAGTGCGCTGTCGTCAGTGTTGTTTTGGAGGGTTTAAGACATCCTCTTTGCGTAAGAAATTTTGAAATTTTTTTAATCTTGCTTATATATTTATAGGAAAAAAAGCGATAATATAGCAAAAAAGATTTCTAAAGTTTAAAATAAAATTTAAAAGTTTTCTCATTTTATAGATATATTATACTTACAGACGTTTGTGCGTAACGCTACACAAGTGGAACTAAGAAGATCTTAGACCACTAAAACATAGACATAAAAAAAAAGTTCATTTTTATGATTATAATTACAAACTAAAGAATAATATTGAACGCTAATCTAAAAGTTAAGCAAAAAAATCTGCACATTGACGTCGGTTTGTGGCAAAATAAACGTTTATGCGTCAAGTTTCTTTTGCATTTATCTTACATTTTTTGATCAATTTTGATTTTGTTGCATACAATGCATAAAAATATATAAAACTGGTACAGATATATAATTTCACGGATAAGAGATTGTATTTATTACAATAGTAATAAATAAATAGTGTTTGTCTTAGTTAGAATGTCTTCTATAAAAATATATTCCATATATCTTTAATAGAAAAAAGTTTTTTTAAAAAATTTAAATAAAACCTTTATTCAAGTTTGTTTTTCTAGTTTTTTGCCACAAAGTGAAGTCACATACGAAAAAAAATTGTAGCTTCAACGGTTTACGAAAAAGACCATTTTTAATGGTGTAAGAATCAGATGACGTAATTTTAGCAATCAGAAATTATCAAGAAAGGGGCAAATCTAAAATTGAAGATTTAAATTTTTCACTTGGATGAGACAATATGTTTTGTGTTTTTTTAATTTTGTCAGTTTTAAAATATAATAACATACTTACAAAAAATCAAAACATAACAGCTTGAGCAAAAAAGACTAGTAATTATTAGAAAAGTTTCCTTATATTACATACGATCCTGAATAAAACGTTATTTAAGTGGATTTTTTACATTTTATAAACAATATATATAAAAAAATAACATATATATATATATATATAAATATATATATATATATATATATATATATATATATATATATATATATATATATATATATACGTATACATATATATATATATATATATATATATATATATATATATATATATATATATATATATATATATATATATATATATATATATATATATATATATATATATATATATATATATATATATATATATATATATATATATATATATATATATATATATATATATATATAGGGGAAAGCGGGGCAACATGGCGAACGTTTTGAAAGTCCTGAGTTATTGTAAAACTATCAGTCGTGAAGGAATAATATTTTCTCAGTATGTTTATGTTATTAAAATCCTTCATTGCCTGCATGAGTTTTCAGTTTGCAAATATAACAATTTGAAATAAATAATAAAATAAAAAGCTCATAAATTTGTCATCTGATCACGTGACCGGGGCAAGATGACTTATTATGCAATTTTTACCTCCAATTTTATAAAATTTTAAAAACTAACAATAACTCTAACTAAAGTAACAAAAAATAAACGCAAATTACAAAAAACTACTTCTAAAGAAAATAAACTTGAAGGACGCCATCCATTATGAGAAACCGAAAGTAAGTTTTTTTTAAGCGCAAAAATTAAACTTATGCGTATAAAATTGCATTAATAATATTTCAAAAAGCCAATTGGTGTTTTGAAATACAAGATGCAAATACAGTTTTGCTTTCATCCAATTTTAAGATTTTTTGTTGAGTTGTTATATGAAAACCCAACTTGCCCCATTCGCCATGTTGCCCCGTTCTATACGTTCTATATATATATATATATATATATATATATATATATATATATATATATATATATATATATATATATATATATATATATATATATATATATATATATATATATATATATATATATATATATATATATATATATATATATATATATATATATATATATATATATATATATATATATATATATATATATATATATATATATTGAAGAATTTAAAATATCATTTTTTGACCTACAGCAGTATGCAAAAATACATTAAAAAGCGGAGCTGAATGTTACATGAAAAGTTTGTATAGTATTCTCCGATTTGTGAAATTCAGTTCTTGTACTCTAGGATCATATGCTGAACAAACTGGAGAAGCTATTCACAGCGTCTTGATATAAGAGAAGGATCGGACATACAGATTATGGTAAACGATTGATATCTGACACTGCCACTTTTTGCATATATATAAATAGTTGTTTTAATATTTTCGTTATATTTATTGTTTTTTTCCTTCTTGTTATTTTTTCTTCGTATTATAACTATAAGGGACTCTGGTGTATCAGAAGTTTAAATCACTTTAAGCCTAAAGTTATAGGTTATATTATAATTCTTTAAAAAGGATAATAAAGGATATTGATTTTTTTTTTTTTTTAATAATTGAAAGGTTTATGTCTTTTCAGGGGGTAACTTTATCACTTTAAAAGTAACAAATTTTTTTTTTGGTACTTCTGATCTACTTTAGATTTATCCAATACAAAAAAAATAACGTGCTTAAGCAGCATTTATCTTTAAATGAAAAAAAGTTAGAAATGGGGAGAAGTTGAACTTGGCGGTCTTTATGGCACACAGTGATATCATGCTAAGCAATTCTTGTTATTATAATACGATTATTCATAAGTTCATTTTAAAGTTGTAAAACGAAAAATAGTCTTGAAAAAAAAAATTAAATTGAACAATAAAAAAAAAAAAGATAAAAAAAAAAAAAAAAATAAAATAAAATAAATAAATAAATCACGAGTGTGTGTATATGTATATTAGTGATCAACCGAAACAGAAAAAAAAAAAAAAAAAAAAAAAACCGAAATGAACCAAAATTTAGTGTACTTTAGTTCGGTTCCGAAACCGAAACCGACATTCGGCAAAATTTTACCGAAACTGATACCGAAATTTCAGCTAATCAAAATTAATTTCATTAAAGAAATTTATTTTAAAATGAAATTTTACATTTGTTGTTTTTTTATTATCGTATTATGTAAGAATTGATTACACGTGTTTCATAAATTGAGATTTAATACATAAGTTGGCGATATAAGTTAATGGCGATAGTTAACAACAGGCAAATTTTCTCTGCAAAACAAGATTTTTTCGAGATATTTTTTCAAAACTCTTAAAATGTTTTGTCAAAATTCTGGAAAATAACTATTTTTCTAAATTAGATCATTTAAACTGATTTTTTGGTTTTCGGTATGTTTTTTCAACCAAAATTTTGCTTTTTACCGAATTTATAAAAAGAAATGAAACTGAATACAAAAATTACCCTATTTAGGGAGTCTATTTATTTACACGAGAATATAATATTAAAAATGTTTAACCACATTTAAGTAAAAACAACTGAATACCAAATTGTGAAATATACAAGAAGAATATAAAACTTAAAAATTGAAGACCATATTGCATATGCGTCTGTTGCAAGTAATATTTTACATTCCTTTCCACTAAATTCTTTCAATGAACCAGCAGAAATCTGTTAAGTTTTTCTCTCTTTAACAAAACCAAATGTTTAATAGTTTAAACATCTGACTTTTTGAGCATTGATGACCTTTACTAATGATCTGAAAATATTTTCCTCAAAAAGAAGTGGTTGGTAATAATTTGCTTTCATATTTTTCCGCCACAACAGCTTCATCAAAATATTTTGACTAATTCAAGGTTTTGTTGCTTTTTCTTTTCCCTTCCTAGGGTAAATATGAATCATTTTCCACATTTTTTGTCTGCAAATAAAACCTTTTTTATTTTTTTGAGAATTTTTCTTCCTTTGATCCAAGTATCTTTAATTTCAGCTGAAACTGTCGTTCCATTTTATATTAAATATTTTTGCACTTCTGTTATAATATTAGTTGGATAAGTTTATGTAACTATAGCTGCAAAGATTTATTGCATAAATTCTATTTATAAATAAGTAATTTTTGTGTATCATTTAAAGTGTCTAGTCTAAAAGTCTATAAAATTATAATATACTCTTTTGAAATAAAGATTTGTGCAGCATAGAAAAAGAGTAGACATTAATGGAACTAGAATACCTTGGGTTTACAAACCTTTTTACCTATTTGTATACTATAAATGTGAAGGGTTTGTGTAGAGTTCAAGTTGTGACATTTTTTTTTTCTTTAAATTACGAAATCGGATTATTTAATTTGTTTTCAGAGTGATTTACAGATTCATGTTGAACTAAATTCGACAAACTGAATATTTTTTCATTTGTAGATTTTTTAGATTTTTAAAGATTAGTTAACAACTTATGTATCTTTAAACTACTCGTTGTTCACTCTCATATTATCCTTTTCTTAAGTTTTTATTCATTAAAAATGTCCTAATAAAACTGTCATAATTGTTAGTAAAGTCGAAAGAGAATGATAGCAATCGTTAATAATGTACTCAGAAAATTATTTGTGTAAGAATCATTACAAAAGAGAACTGGTAAATCGATAAATAAAAAATGCGTGAACCTCTCAATAAAAATGCGCGAACCTCTCGATAAAAATGCGTGTCTCGATAAGAAGTAAATAGAGTTTTGTTTTTAACACTAATCACCTCCATAAAGTTCATTTGTTAACACTAATCACCTCCATAAAGTTCATTCGTTAACACTAATCACCTCCATAAAGTTCATTTGTTAACACTAATCACCTCCATAAAGTTTATTTGTTAAAAAAAACAACCTAAAATTTCAGATTCAAAATGTTTTTTAACAAAAAATACCTACTTGACCACAATGCACAACATAACCACTTGCTTTTCTTGTCTTTAAATTTGCTGCGTCAAGTTAAATTAAATTTGATATATCAAGTAAATTAATACAGCAAAAATGTTTTATTGATGCTGTTTCTATTTTTGAAGCACTCAAGAAAAAAAAAGTCGAAGAAATTATTACTTCTGGTCTTTCAACTGGAAATGATAAAGATAAAGAACTATCTGATTTAGCAAAAGTTAAACATCTTAATTAATACAAATAATATAACTAATCAAACCATAAATATAAAGAGGTTTAGACCAAAATGCTGAAATTGGAATACTTGTTTAGTTATCATCAACCAAGCAAAATGTTTTTGTGCTATCTGCAACAAATAGTTTAAGAAATAATGAAAATTTGTCTAACCTCTTTATTTATCTAGATATTATACCAGCGCTAGTTAGACTACGTAGCCAAGTCAGACAACAATTTGGGTAAAGAAAGAAGCAAACTAAATTATAGTATGAGACAAAAGTTGGTATCAGAAGCAATACAATTATTGTAATCTAAAAACAACAGAATTAACATATGCAGTTCGAGTCATTAAAGTTTTTGACAATGTTTTAATACAATAATATTTATTTACAAGAGTGTTTGTTGAGAAGAAATAAAATATCAAATTGTTGAGAAGAGGACTACTCTGTTGTTAGGTCTGACAGTGGTAAGGATGACTTGCCAATGTTACAACTAGCCCCGGCTAGTTGTGTTAGTGCTTTTTAAAATGCAGTTTTTATTTATTATTCCTTAGCAGTTTTACATATATAATTATAATGAATAGACGTCTGTAAAGTATAAAATAATAAAATCTTAGAGTAATATAATTATAATTACAGAATTTATATATATATATATATATATATATATATATATATATATTATATATATATATATATATATATATATATATATATATATATATATACATCATATAAAATTTTAATTTGCATTTTCAAAATCTTTTTTGATTGTAAACAAAGAGTTATATTAACCAACCTTAATAATAAGATTAAAAATATTTTTCAATTACAAAATACAAAATTAAAATTGATATACCTGAGACAGAAGAAATAAATAAATAATAATTTTTCTGAGAAATCTGCAAAGCTTTCAAAATATTGATACGCGACTTACCCCATTTGACCTATTCCACATTCGTATAGTTTACCAGTTCCTACTTCACAAAAAAGTTATGAATTTGAAGCAGAAAATGAAAGCACAAATGAAGTAAAAGTAAAAGAAAAAGTTAAATAAGAAGAAGAAGAAAAAAAAGAAGAAAAAGAAGAAGAAAAAAAGAAGAAAAAGAAGAAAAAAAAGAAGAAAAAGAAAAAGAAAAAAAGAAGAAAAAGAAGAAAAAAAAGAAGAAAAAGAAGAAGAAAAAAAAGAACAAAAAGAACAAAAAAAAAAGAAGATAAAAAAAAAGAAGATAAAAAGAAGAAGAAAAAAAGAAGAGAAAGAAGAAGAAAAAGCAGAAACATCAAATAATCAAAAAAGAGCTTTTAGGTATTTAAGAAACAAATTTTCTAAAAAAATGTAATGCAAAAAGTTAGAGAGTAATTGTTGGCAAAAAAAAGAAAGCAAGAAAGTAGTTTGTGGATTTTAAGGCAAAAATATTTATGATAACTACATTCAATTGGTAACGGTACTTCTGCAAAAATAACATCAAACGTAAACATAAAGATTTATTTCATCCACTCACACCTAGAGTTCTTTCCCACAGTTTTTGGGAGAGAAATCTAAGTGTGACTTAACCGGACAATTCGTTGTCGGACGATACGTCGCAGACAATTCGACGCCAACAATTTGTCGCCCTAAATTCGTTGGCGTGGACAACTAGTTATGAGTGTAAGGGTTATATGTGCGTGGGGCAAAGGCTGGGAGAATTTAAATCTGCAATTCGAATAGAAAAAAAATATATGCAAAATTGTTAATAACAGCAAAAAATACTGACAAACTTAAGAAAGACAAATGTAGAATAAAATAAAATAAATAATATTAAAAAATAAATAAAATAAAAAATAGTTTTATTTTATGTTGTGTTAACACATTAAAATAGTGTTGGGGCTGCAACCTCGTAGATAGATCATTGCTTTGCAGTTTTCATAATCCAAAACAACAGTATTTTAGCAACAGCCAACAATCTAAATCGCGATATTTTTTCTTCTAAAGAAGAGCTTCTTTACTTGCAAGAACACTTTTAGCTGATTGAACTTCTGTTACTTTTTAAGTTTTACTACTAAACTCGGCAAAGTTGAGTCTGCAATATGAACTGACCATGCAAATGCATTTTGGCATCTTTCAACTGCGTTGTTAGTACGAGGGGTGTTGTTAAATAGTACGAGGGGTATTGGGGGGTAATCTCAGAATTTGAATTAAAATAGAGCACATGATCTTTCTCGTTGTCATAATCTTCTAAGAAATGTGTCTTTGAAGCAGTTAAGGAGTTGATTGACATCTGGAAATGTATTGAGTTTAACAAGTTCTAAACACATACAAGCTTTAT